ATATATATAAGGACATAAATTTGCGTAACGGACGTTTTAGTGGGCTTTGCATAATATTTGTATAGTTTCTGTGTTGATATAGACGAGAGCTCATTACTCGGCTTGTCAGTGAAGAGTCAGTTTTATATTATTAATTTCTGAATCCGATCGTGTAATCAACTTTAGATATCTATTAATTGAGAATGCTCATTTCCATGGCTAGTACACGTATACGTGTTAATCGGAGTAAATACTTCGATTTATTGAGAGCTGCACTTGGCAGGTCGTCAGCTGTCACGGTATCATCCAATCGGAACCTTACCCATCATTATGGTGACCTTCAACCTCTCGATTAGACGACATCACAACAGCTGATTTACGTCAGAGGCAGTTTTGTTTAAATCCAAATGCAGTGCTTGTGCCATAGGGTTCAGTGTCGAGTACGAATTCTTCCCGAAGTGACTATTCGGCATGGAGCGTCGTTTCCCTTCAATTAATTGATTAGTGATTTCGTGCGGATATCCTGCCAAAGTAATTTCTGTAAGTGTAGTGTATGTTTTATCGCGAAATGTGATCATCCCCACACTGGATAGTAGGATCCGGTGCTGTCCTAAACATCGACTCGCGGGGATTTCACCTAATCAGGTCTCCCACCAGCGTGGCACCGCCACAGCCGGGACGAGCTGTAAGCTTCCGACATGAATGGTAATATAGTGCATGCGTGTGTGTGTATGTGTAAGGAGTGAGGATAGAACATAGAACAGGAAGGAAATATGGCGCGCGAATCTGTGGCGAATCTGTGATCTGCTCTGGCATTCACCTGGTGTTGATTGGAGACACCGCGGAAAATTACCAATCAGAGCAGCTTGCCACTAATATTCTCCTCCAGACAACGGCTGAATTCCATCTAGCTAGTGTTTAAATTCCGTCCACTGTCAGGAACTCGCACCCTAGGATCTCCCAGTCATAGGTATTATTCGCGCACGTTTTCTTCATCCCTCGCTTTGCTAGATGCGAGAGGAGTGGAGAGTTTGGTTATTTTGACGAAAGGAATTTTACGTCCAATTTGGAGTTTATTTATCGATGTGAAATCGTTTCTAATACACAGGAGAGAACATTTCTTGTTAACATATTTTGTCCACAACGCTCGTTGATATCATTTATTCGTAATTCAACTAATGTTGGGAAAGGAGAGGGGGTACATATCAAGAAAACGTGCGGATACAATACTACAGCCACAACAGTTAATGCTGTGAGCCATCTAAGCCAGTGTGATTTTCGGTCTGGAGCGTCGTTGACCTTCGATTGTTCGTGGGAGGGCCCACTGCCCCAGCTTGCTCGTGCGAGTGCGCGCGTGCGTGCGTCGGCACGCGGTCGGTCGCGGCGGCGGCGGTGTCCCAGGCCCCCTGCTTGCCGTCCTCCGACGGCCTTCCCACGGCCCCCGCATCTCGCGCACGAGCTTCCTCCCGCCGCCGCCGCCGCGCTGGCGTCGCTCTTCCGACTGCAGTGCGCGCGCGCGCCGTTCCACCGACGAGCTAAACTATACTACGTAGAGTGGCTGAGGCGCCTCCATCTTTGCAGCAAATCGAAGCTGTTATTTGCAGTCAAAACAGCGTCCCCTGGAGAAACATAGTATTCTAGCATTACGTTTGGCGCTGGTTACGGACAATTATACGCCTATGTTTTGACTTCAGAAAACATGGCGGCCACTAGTGCGGTGAGCCACCGAGCGCGCTGAAACTATAGGGACAGCCACTCTATGTAGTATAATCTAGATCGTTGGGTTCCACATTCGGCGATCTCTTATGAACAGGGCTCGGATTCTGATGACCTTAAAATTATTTGAAAATGACCTCGTTTTTTTTAAATACTCAAAAATGTATGTGAAAATATTTACTTATTCAATCTTTTTTTTTCAATTTTAATTTTTTTGGGTTGAAAATAATGTTTAATATAAATTTTTCATTTTAGGAGGAAATGTAATGCTTAGCTACGATCTTACAACCGTCTGTTTTGGAAGGTGGAGAAAGTTACCGAAGATCAGTGTAATTTTGCGTATTCGAAAAACCACTGCAGTAATGAGTTTCGTCATGAACTGATTCAATAAAAAACTTTATTTTTGTGAGTCATTGTGAATTCATGAAACATTCACCAAAAAACTGAAAGGAAGACAAATGCGTAAATATGACGAAAATTGACAAATAGATTCATAGATGAATATCTCTGAATCAAAATTTCTTCAATACCTTAAGCTTTATTGAATTGTGAAATAGTATATATTTCTTTCTTAGTATGTTCATGAAAAAATGTATGACTATTACAAAATTTCAAGATGTTTATAATATTCGAGTAATAATCCTAAATAGAATAAATCTCTAAATTAATAAATTATATAGGTTGTTGGAATTATTTAGAACCATCGATATGTACACAAGCCAAATCTACTACTCGAGTACTCGAATACACTAGACTGATTGTGTCAGTTTTTCGTGGCTGCACTCTTCAAAATAAGTTTTTTTTTAATAAAAAAAATATTTTAGCAATGGGAGAGAGCATTAGTGCAAACATGGATTTCTTTTCTTAATAAAAAAAATAACATAGTTTAGAAATGGGAGAGAACAGTACTGCCAACATTGGAACTCGATGACCAGCAGGGAATTATTGTAGCATTCTCTGGGAAGTGTTGCGCGCCCCCAACAACCAATTTTTCTTGAAACATGAGATTTAAGTTGAAGCAGATCGAAGTCACTGACACCTAAAGAAAATATTTTCAGCGGTGCTGCGCTCTTGTCGCAGCTCATAGATAACAAGAGCGGTGCACACTGAAGCTACCCCAAACATCCGGCCGCGTTTTCATTCGCCGTTCTGAATTTGATTAAGAAAAAAATATGTCAATTAAAAATGTAATAAAAACTTTTTTGCAAGATGAAACTTTTTTTTTTTTTTTGAAATAATTTCAAGAAAATGTATACAAAGTCAAACACACTGCAATACATAAGAACCGGGTGTGTAGTAAGAACCTGCGCCATTGTCATTCGTCAAAATTCTAATCTGCAAATATTTCTCCGAAGCGCCACGTGTGATTGCCAGCCGCTGGGCCTTCCTGCGTTCAGCTCTTCCACCCGTGGGCAGCGACGGTTGGGATCAAATGATAAAGCTCAGCCCGAGGGACAGCTTCAGTTGCGTCCCAGGATATCACTTCCTTTCACGAAGTGTTGAAACTTTCACGGAGACATTTGAAAATGGCTGTTGACTTTTCAACTTTTATTTCCTTATCTATGCAATATAATAATAATAATAATAATAATAATAATAATAACAATAATAATAATAATTCTTATTTTTTACTTCGTTGTTGTGCAATTAATTATATTCGGTTGTAATGAATAATATTTAATACCTATTCATTTATATTTGGTTGCCATGCTTTGATGAACAACTTTCCATGACTTTCATTGACAATGT